CATAAAATTGTAAGTCAATTTAACGATGACTGTCAGTCTGTCCGTCTGTTTGTTTAAATCGCATTGCAGTCCACATTATTTGACGTAGGGCTTTTAAAATTTGGCACAACAAATTGTATTATGTCTAGGATGGTTAGTATTGAAAATAAGATATATCACTCCACGATATATTTACCTCCTGATATTTGGTATTTTGATGATATTCGCCACATTTTTTTGCGGATTTGTCGAAAAATTCGCATTTGTAGTTTGTAATGGGTTCTAGCTTCGGTGGCAGAACATTCAACATGTAACGGTACCCATCGATGTACTAGTCACATTTACCCACGAAATTATTTCAAATTTGGTATTGAAGAATATTTGGTAGATAACAATCTTTGAGGTCTAAAATTGTCTATATAGGTCCCCTTTTTGGTATGGCCCCCATATAACAGGCTCACCCACTTTATGGTTTTTTGAAAAGTTTAGCAGCATTTTCTTAAAGGTCTTGTAGTTGAAAGTGGAACATTCGAATTCAGATACTGTTATATAAAAATTGTCCTTTAACTAATGATGGATGGTATTAAAAGTTCGGACCGGCCGAATTTAATGATTTTACTTGTTTTCCCTTTGTTGATGTATACCTGAATTTTAGAGCAACACTGAGAATTTTAATCTAAAAAATATTAACTTGACTTATGCCAATTTTAAGATATATTGCCGCATTATTCTTAAGTTTTCCAGACGTCACTAGCCTGTTTTAAGAACTATTGTCACTATTGAAAAGTATTGCGGGCCATTCGGCATGGGAATGTGTCTAGCAGCTTAAAAACGACCGAAACTTATTCCACGATGATGAAGTTCAAAATATCAAATTACTGAAGCTAAAAAAACAGCCAGAACTTGCAAAATTCCCAAAATTTACCGGATCCACGACTTGGGGTTTACGTTACATTACCAATCATCATAGACACAATTAAATTTTTTTCGGGAAATTTTCAAATTTTTCCACTAAATAATGTGATCTCCATCTTGAGAAAATATATACTATTTGATCTCAGAGAAGTATTTCCCGGAATATTTTTTTTTTATTATTTTTTCGACGAATATAAAAATATTAATGTTCAGCCATGTTGAATAGAAGAATTGATAAGGACATTCACAATATCAAACATAAAATGCACGAATTTCGAGGAATCTAAATCCGAAAATTTCCAAAAGTGTAGAGGCGTGGGTAATTTTCCAGCTCTCTTTTGGGTACTTTTCTATGTAAACTTTCTTTTTTAGCTCCATTTTCATAATTTGTTGGATTTTCTTCGTAATTATTTTTTGTTTTGCACAGTATAATTTTATAATAAAAATCCATACTTGTAGTCAATGGATAAAATTGCATATATAAGTATTTCCATAACAAATTCATTCCCCCCTTTGAAGCTTTCAAATTCAATACCTACATTTAACAAATTAGCTTAGCAACCCCCAGGAAAACCCATTGGCAGAAAAACCTAAATACTTTAAGAAAAACAATGGGAAAACAACCCTCTTAAAATCCACAACAATAAAGGCAATTTTCGTTAAAAATACAAGCAATAAATTGATTAAATTCTATTTGCTAAAATTGCTATGGGCCGCCCTGAAATCAATAATTTAATGCCAAATAAAACAGACAGACAAGACCACATAAAACCGCACACATATAAACATATGATACAACATCACTGTCTATGATTTTACTATGAGTATTGGAGAGAATTTCTTTTCTACATGGTTTAAAAAGTGAAATTATTAATTTTCTAATGGATTGAATGAGAGACAAAATGCCAATAATTGTAAGGATTCCACAAAAAGGCTGACAAAAATCGGAATGTGTGTGTAGGTGTGTTTTAAATGCCTTGTAGAAAATTTATGGGTCTTCATTTATTTTCTCTCTGTAAATGTAAATGAGAAAGTTGGGTAAGCAATTTCTTTAATTCTTCCTAGAGATTTTCTTTTTTTGGCCTGCCATGTGGGTTCTATGTGGTAAATTATTTATTGCCCAACTACTAATAGATGTCATTTTCCAGGATTTCATTTATATCGAAATGCTATTCATTGTTAATAAGTATAAAATCATCATAAATTTATTTGTTGGGATACAGCAGGAAAATAGAAGAAAAAAAAAAAGAAATTGTGGGAAATAAATGGTCTTGGCTTGGAGTAGACAGTTTTATTATTTTGAATGAATAGGCATGATTTCATTTCGCAAGGTTTTAGTTTATCAGTGAAATTCAGAGTTTTTTTCTCACTAGGATTTATGTAAATATTCGAATAAAATCCCTTACATTTCTGTTATTGACAGCCACAATATAATAATTCCATTTTCATCATTATACCATTCAAGACAATGTTTTGTTTATACCATCCATAGTAAGAAACATCAACAACAACAACAAATTTCTCAAAACAAGTGCGAAAGTTTTCCGCCGGAAGTAAGAAACATTTTCAATTTATTATTTATTACTACTTGTTTACAACGATTTATATGTGTGTAATTGAAAATTTATTTTTTTTTTCTTTTTCTACGTCTGCGTTTCCTTCATTCATTCATCCGATCGACTGGAAGTCATTAAAAAGCAACAAATTTTAATGTAAATAACATGAAAAATGATTGGTAATATATTCCAAGCAGAAAACGTGTGTTTGGATGTGTGTCGAAAAGATAGTTTACGACTTGGCCTTTAGTAAATAGAAATCATAGTTCATGCAACGGGGGGCTACATATGGAGAATTTAATAGAGAAGATTTATTTGTTTATTTTTTAAATCAAATATTTTAATATTTGAATAACAAGAAAAGCTCTTGCATATAATTGCATACTGCATTTATTTTTAAACCTAAGGCTTAAGTCTTATTTTTTGTAGTTTAATTACTACAAATCATAACATTTTGATTTACAAAGTGTGAACATGGTTTGTTTGAAATATATTTATGAAATATTAAAACATTTGCACTCAATGTTAGTTTTAATGCTGTAATGCATGTAATTTTATTTATTTTTATGGTAGCACAGTGGGACATGGTGTATTATTTTGGGGGGAGAACAAATTTGCCATTCAAAAGAATAACTACAAAAGAGAAAATGTGGAAAATAAATATATGATCTGCCCTAGAAATTGCAAGAATCTATTTGCTTTGCAAAATTGGTTATCGCGGTAACACTTAACATCATGCTAAGTTCTGGAACAGACCAACTAAAAGGAAAACAATTTTCTTCATAAAAAGTTTCAATTGATACTGAGTCCACTCCATAGTATGTGACTCCACCCCATGTCATTCCATTTGTAACTCTTCGAAATTTTCATTTTGGGCCCAATTTGTTTCCTTATTTTAAAACTGCATCTAATTTCAGACTGACGTCATTTCCAAGCCATTCGTCCGACAGCTGTTAAAATTATTCCAGCCGCAGCTCATTATATTATTTACAAGCGTACAAAAGCATTTTGGTGAGAATTTTTCAGAAAAAAAGTTATTCCTGATGGATTTCAAGCGTGATAGTGTGATTGGCTATCATAAGAGCACTTCAGAATTTAAATGTGAATAAATTTTTTGTGTCTCGTACCATCGCTTGTTACCGTGATACTGGTAGCGTAGCCCGACGTCAAGGAAGTGGACGAAAGAAAACAGCAACATCAGCAGAAATGGTTCGAAAAGTAAAGAAGCGACTTCATCGAAACCCACGACGCATTGGCCGAAAGATGGCTCGTGAATTTTCCATTCGGCAAATATTGAAAAATGAGCTCGGGGCAAAGCCATTGAAATTTCAAAAAGTGCAAGAGCTCACACCGCAACTGAAAGAAAATAGACTCAAAAGAGCTAAAGAATTGCTTCGCTTGGCCGAAGGTGGTGAACTGCGGAATTTGGATTTTTCCGACGAGAAAGCATTCATTGTCCAGCAGTTTGTAAAGCATTTGGCTTTGTTGCAGTTATGTTACAAAAATACAGATTGTCACACTGTGCACCCATAACAAGTTGAAGAAAAATGCATGCGTGAAAATGATTACACTATTGCAGTTTAAATTGAAGAGAAGTAAAAAAATAACAAGAAAAATTGTTTAGCTTGATGTTTTATATTTGTGTATTGCGTGTCAATGTAACATCAAATATATATAAATAGGTAGGTATTTGTATTATGATTGGTTTGGAAGTGTTGTTTTGTTAGTTAAAATCAGCTAATTCACGATCTGTAAGTGTGTGTGTGTGAGAGAGAATAAAACACTGTTTTCTTATTCATATTTAAATAGACACGGGTAATTTATGTACACCTATGAAGGGAAGAAATACGGGTATATGTATAATTGACGTTATGGAACATGCACATGCTTATTCTTGTTTTTTTTTTTTCTCGAAATAATTTTGTATGTCTTTATTTAGATAGGGGGTATAATATACTAAGAAAATTTAGGGAGGAATAAAAGATTAATGGAAAAACACAACATCTATCACGAGACATTCACATACATTCTGGTTTACCTCCTTTAAGTTGTACAACTTAGCTCTCATGGGTAGTTATCACTCTCTCTTGCTAATATCCTCATATGTCTGAGACTTGATTTTTTAAAATAAACTAAAAAATTTAACTTTGAATCAAAAGAATACAAAAATCATACTGTTATTGTTTTTTTAGTAAAGGCTCCTCAATGTGGGCTTTTAAACAATAACTGCAAAAAACAAAAATTGGGTGGGAATTTCCATACAAAAAAGCTCTTCTAAAAATGCCAATTATGTTTTTCTGGGAACAAATTTTTTTATCAGGGGTTTAACATATCTAAATCAAAATTCAGTTTCTAGTCATAACAAATTTTGTTTGGTCTGCTAAATAATTTTTCTTTTTCCAAAAACACATACATTTTATTATTAGCAAATTAATCAAAAATGGGGGTTAACAAAAATCAAAAAACAAAAAATAAATCAGAAATAAAATACAAAAACTTATATTAAAAATATATATAAAAAACAAAAAACAAAACGTTGTGTGTACTTACCTAACCAATCTGGTAGTAATGAGCCCGCAAGAGATTCTGAGTATCTCTTACCTGCAATAAAAAAGAGAAACAACAAATTGGTTACAATTCTGTAAAAGTAATTAATTTAAATCTAAATTGAATAAATAACATTAACATTACACCATTTCATAAAAAAACTCATTGGTCCCTACTCCCCTATTTTATTTGCCTAACTGTCACTTCGAAATTATCGCACTATATTTGATTTTTTGCTTTCAAATAACGAATTCGAATCATACTTACTGGGATCAATTATGGAGTTCCTTTTTTCATTTAGTCCATTCATATTTCCATCAGATTGTCCATGTTTGCCTGCAATTAAAAGTCAGGCCATGAGGTGATATTTTTGAATTTTGCATCAAATCATAAAGCAGTCCTACCGCAGGTTTCCAAGTGAAACGCTGACGACAAACAAAAAACAAAAAAAAAAACTGATTCCAAAAAATTTGCAAATAATTCAAAATTAACACAAGAAACGTTTCTAATCCATTGAAGAAATTTACAATACCATCAAATATATTAAATCAAATTATGAAAATGAAACAAAATGAAAAGAAAAATCAGACAAAAATTTAGAGAAATGAAACACTCTGGACTGAGAAAATCAGAGGCATTGCACCGAAGAAAATGTTCTAGAGATTCCATTAGGTATTGCTAATTTTATGCAATAAAATATTTGACGAAAGCCATATACAGGGTGAGAAAAAAAACTGCAACCAACTTAAGACTGCTGTCATTTCTAAGCCACTCGTTCGACATCTATTAAAATTATCAGCAGAAATGGTTCAAAAAGTAAAGGAGCGACTTGATCGAAACCCGCGTCTCAGTGGCCAAAAAATGGCTCGTGAGCTGAACATATCGCAATATTACATTCGGCAAATATTGAAAAATGAGTTCGGGTAAAGCCATTGCAATTCCAAAAAGTAGACTCAAAAGAGCTGAAGAGTTGCTTCGCCGAAAGTGGTGAACTACCGAATTTGTTTTTTTTTCCGATGAGAAAACATTCGATGTCCAGAAGTCGTGATCGTGTTAATTGCCAAAGAGGTCAGCTGAAAATGTGCAATTTCGGTTGGCGACCAGAATTCAAGCGCCGGCCGCCATAACAGCCGATGGTCGCTCTTAGCTCGTATTGATCGACCGTGGCATCAGAATAAATGCCGAATATTATCGCGAAAATTTTCTGGTGTATTAAAGCCTTGGGCACGCAATCTTTTTGGCCGCAGACCTTTGTGGCGCTTCGACAGCACCAAAACAAAATGAGGTTCCTCGCTTCATTTCCAGCGCACAATGCCATAATTCGCGACAAATTTGACCAATAATAACAAATCTAAATTTATTCTAAAATCGAATGCTATTTCCGACATTTTTTGCTTTCATTCAATAAAAAAAATTAAAAATTATGGCGTTTGACTTTGTTGCAGTTTTTTATTTCACCCCGTATATGGAATTTTGAGCATGAATGATTATTTTATATGGACAGATTGTTAGAATATTAAAAGAAAACATCCATTGGTGCATTTTCCAAGGAAATTACTGTTGCCTACCTAACATGTGCAACTTGATCGATTATGTACTTTTATCATTTTTCCTTCGATATATTTGGACTACTTTCTATCATCCATTAAAAGATTACTTGATGTATAACAATTAGAATGAAAAGCAATTTTCAACATTGTTTAAAGCGAAAATCAGTTTCAGAATATATATACAATTGCTCTATAAAATTGCTAACACTTTAACACTTAACTTTAGTGATAGCATTCTTTTACAAGTGTTGCCTTCTCCGCGAAGATTGAAAAAATAATTAAATAAAATTAAAAAGTAAATTACTTAAAGTTGGTTTATAGCAAAAAATCAAATACATTTAAAATGTATCAACTGCAAGATAATATTTTTTATCTTAACTTATTACAGTGTAAGCCTCCTTGACGTGAATAATTTGTTTGGGACAATTATTTCATAACCAGAGAAATTTCATTTAATGGTGTAATGTTTTTCATACTTTAATTAAAGTTATTCATATTTCATACAAAAATATAAGAGTCAAAATAAAAAAATACATAATAAAACATAAATAATAAAATTAAAAAAAAAATAATATTTATTGCAATGAAAAAGAAAAATATAATATTTTCAAAAATTTATATTGCCAATTGATATGGAAAATTTAAAACTTAATAATTTTTATTTATATTTCGAATGAAATCAATTCATATTTGCAAAAACTTGATTTGTTTAGTTGTTAATGATTTAGTTTGGACTTAGGCAAACATAACTTATAAATTTTTGAGATATCAAATTTTTCATAAAATAAACTTGAAAATCATGCATATAATTTTAGGTATAAAATAATGTTAGTCAATTTGTAAAGAAAAAATGAAAACCAAATAAAAACTTAGCTGTGATGAGAAATTTTGAAAAACAAATATTACGATATATAATTATTGTTTAAGTAAACACACACACACATAAATATTATACATATTTTCAAGAAATTTTCCACTTTTGTAAGAGAAACAGAAAAATGAAAAAACTTTTTCTTCTAAATCCAAAATTAGCAACCAAGAAATTAACAAATGTAGTAAAACATATATTATATTTAGTTATTTGATATTTTGGGTATGATTTTGACTACTTGCTTTTGTATTAAAAAATATATATATTGTACAAGCTTAACATCTGCTATAATTTTTCGAAAACAAAAGTATCAATGCATTTGGAGTTTGAATAAAATAAAAAAAACAACTAAAAGAGAGGGTTGGACTTATCTTGCACTTAGCAATAACAACATATAAACATCCCCACATTTATAGTCACACGTATATAAATTCTGAAACAAAAACATATGTTGTATTCGCATATACTCGCTCACACACATACACATATTTAACAGAACAATTGTATAAAATACGTGACATTAAGAGTGATTGTTATTGTTGATATTTTGTCAAATGAAAACAGATAAATACACAATTACACACTTAAGTGATTCTGCGGCTCGTAAATGTAAACATATTTACACAACTCACACTTGTATGGATTGAGAAGAATGCAAAAAAAAAAATAGAATACAAATGTTTTAGCCATGCAAACCATTGAAGCGAAAAAATAATAAAATAGTAACAAAGGCTAATAAGATGGGAAGGATGTAAGGTGTATACAGTGGAACCGTTATAGTTGGCCCAGAACATAATAAAATATTTAGGGAACTCAAAAGTAAACAAAAATTAAACTCTCTAGTTCGAAAATAAGGATATATCAAAATCCTTGAAGTCCAAAAACTAATTTTACGTTATCCAACATTCGCATGCGTAATTTCGCAAGATATGGCCAAAATCACAGAAAGTGTTTTATTTGGAAGTTAATAGTAAATATGGTTTTAACAAATGGTTTTCTGAGATAAGCTTTTGCATTATTACGATTTTTATAATAAAGTCAGTGGCTAATTATAATAATTAATAAGTGCATTGTACAAAAAATGTGTTTTAAGATATTTTTCGCTTTATCAGGATTATTTTAAAGCAGTCTGTGAATAAATTATCATAAAGGAAAAATCGAATATCGTACTAAAATATTTTATATTCTTGCAATTCTCGAAAGGAACTTATACTGTGAGTTTCAAATTTTATAATTTTTAATTTCTTCCCAAAGGAAAACACGAATATCGTACTAAAATCCTTTACATTCTTGAAATTCTCGAACGGAACTAATTCTGGGAGTTTCAATTTTTAACATTTTTAATTTCTTCCCGAATTGTTTTGCTGGGATGTGATATTGCACCTAAAAACAACTAACCAACATATGTAGCTCCACTCAACACCAAATGACGTATGGCTATGTGGGCAAGCTCAAAAAAAAAGATAGACATATTCGTGTGTGTGTGTGTCACTGTATATTGTTATCCTTAATGTTGTTTGTTTTCCAAAAGGATTCGCCATACATTGTAAATGTTTGTTTGTGTATACACATGTTTCCCATGTAAGATCATACATACATCTATCTATCTGTATGACCATTCGTAGTTGATGTTAAAACCCCCAATGAATGGATGGAATCCATATAATAAAATAAAATGAATAAATACATTTATTTTATTTGTTTAATGTTTGTTGTTATCCTTTTTTTCTGTTGCTGTTGCATCATTCTTCTTTTCCATAATACCATCAACATTCAACAAGGGACGACTATTTGTGCCCTGGACATCAAAAGTCATTGATATACCGAAAGGAGATTCATTATGCTGTCGATAAACATAAATTGCTTTTAGTTTATAATAAATTTCAATTCATGGAGCTTGAAAAAATAATGCCAATGAAATTAGTATTCGATTTCTGTGTTGTTTTCGAAAGGATATTCCGGTCAGGGGTTTGTGTTAATGGAATACAACAACCCCTTCAAAACGCACACTCACATATGGTATGGGAGAAAATGTAAATATGTTGTGCCACTTCCTCCCTGAAACTCCTGTTATTGTTTTTGAGAACTTTTGCACTTTAAACACTTTGTTGTTGTATTTAATTTCTTTTTTGGTTTTGTTGTTATTGCACAGGTTTATTTGCTGCTGTTGTTGTTTTCGCATAGAGCCTGGGTATTACTTTAATTTATTTATTGGCCTTTCATTGGCGGATTTATTTACACACATGTACACACACACCCGGCCTAAAGCTTGCGTACACCACTCTTACCATTCGAGCGATAAATTTAGTTAAAATGTGAAAATTGTGCATTTTCACAGCATGCCTTTCACGCTGATAAAACAAAATGGATGAGTTTGGTATTATTCAGGGCCGTATGCACCGAGAGAAGATATATTGAAGTTTCCAACTGCACTGCAGTGAACAACAAAAGAGGGATTTTCATTATAAAATATCACACGGCAGCAATATGGATGACGACATGCCAGCTCAATTCGTAATATATCCTACGAAGCTTTATACCAAAAAATTCTCATAGGATTTTGCCTCAGACTACTTTTGCCATTTTTCTCTCAACCATACAAATAAAGAGAAATTGTAAAAAAAAAATTAAAATAACTTGCAAAAAATTGCTTATGCCACTGCATCATTTTGCAGCAGGCTGAAAAAAAGTTTGCCTATACAAAAAAATAAAAAAAACGTTTCATGACAAATAGTGTGAGCCTTAATATATGAGACTGCATGCATTCACATGAATCTGTTTTAATTGCCATTCTAGCCGATCTTTTTTTCGCATGTGCCATGCAAGTGTATTTATAAGCCAACATACTGCCAGAAAAATTCAAATTTATACTATATATGTGTGTACCTATGTATGTGCGCATACATTTTTTTTGC